CAACTTAATACATGCATCATTAATTATCTAATTTTTCTAAGTATCTCCACTTTGAAAATCACTATTATGTTCAATCTGATTAAATACAAAAATAAGTACAGGGAGTGTTGCCATATTCTTCATCTCAGTCTTTTAAACATTCTCATTGCTAAACCTCTCTTCTCCTGATTTTCATACCTGTGATTTGAAAGGTATTAGTTAAGAAACAAGTAAGTTTTAAAGTAACATATTATAAGTTAAGTATCTCCACTTTGAAAATCACTATTATGTTCAATCTGATTAAATACAAAAATAAGTACAGGGAGTGTTGCCATATTCTTCATCTCAGTCTTTTAAACATTCTCATTGCTAAACCTCTCTTCTCCTGATTTTCATACCTGTGATTTGAAAGGTATTAGTTAAGAAACAAGTAAGTTTTAAAGTAACATATTATAAGTTTTCAATTCCAGATTAAGATATTTTCTTACATCTTACAGGTTCTTTGGAGATTTGAGGGCAAGAAACCAGACAGTTTGGGACCGAATACCCGGTTGTACAAGTGGATCCCCCAGAATGACCTTCTTGGTAAGAATCTAGAAAGCCATCTAGTGACACACTCTGATTCCCACACCTGTTCTGGCTGCCTAAAGGAACCTTTATATCATTATGAATGCAGTATTTATTTAAGATAATAAATTATAACACACACGGTCTTTCTTTGACAATCATATTCTTTCATCTACCATGTAACTCTATGTATTCAACAGGCAATCACATTTTCACTGTTCAGATCTTAAGTCACATGTCACATCTGGCAAGCAGCCCTCAGCTAGCTGCTTCTGTGCCCTTAGGCGTTTTAAACTCTGAGATTTGAAAGCATTAAATGTAATTATACAAGTAAAAGAATCTTTATGTACAAAAGGCTCCTTTCAGTGCCTGGTATTAAATGTTTCCCATTTTGTAGCCAATAATTCTAATTAATACATTTCTTTAAATTCATTTGATCCTAGGTCATCCAAAAATGAAAGCCTTTATAACTCATGGTGGAACCAATAGCCTCTATGAGGCAATCCATTATGGGATCCCTGTGGTGGGCATTCCATTATTTGGAGAACAACATGATAACATTGCTAATATGGTGGCTAAAGGAGCAGCTGTTGAATTAAATTTCCAAACAATGACAAGGTCAGATTTGCTCAATGCATTGGAGGCAGTCATTTACGACCCTTCATAAGTATAACCTTTTAAAATATTTATTTATTTATTATTTTTATCATTTGTTCATTTATTATTGTGCCCTTTGTCTGAAGGCCAAGTGAGCAGCAATTATCCTATAGGCAAAAGTATTGGTAACCTCAGAGTTAAATCAATGAGTGTCATAATGTTTTATTTTTCCTTTTTGCTTTTCATAGCATCTGTCTAGATAACCCAGGTTGTTCCTGAAGTTGCCGTCTTTCTGGTTCATCTTCCAAATTGCTAGATTACCAGACATGTGCTAACATTCCAAAGCAATCTTTCATTTCACTTGTTCTGATAAAGTTTCTCTGTGTTTGAAGATTAGTACAGTTTTGAAATAGGCCATAAGTGAAGCGAAAAGAATATCAGGGGTGATAGCAGATGTACATGTGGAAGCTTTAGGAAAAGTCTGTAGGAGAGAAACATGAATGTTATAAAGGAAATATGTAACTTTTATGCCAGTTACGATGTTTAGTATAGGAGCTCAGTAGATGTAAATATAAAATTAAGTGTATTGTGTATATTTAGTGTATACAACTGTACATTTTGTGATAAATACAGACAACACCTATTAGACTGAAGTGAATGAATATGTCCACCATCTTGGCTAATCATTTTTTTTCTTTTATTTTAAAATTTTCCTCAGCAGGGACTTATATTTTTAACCAGTTAGACCAAAAAAAATCAGTCTCCATTTTTAATGATATTTAGTGTTTCTAAGACTTTCTGTGTTGATATTTTGATTCCATCACTGATAACAAAAAACCTAGGGCATTTGAATACACACATAATTAGTACTGTGGGGAAGAGAATACACTATTTATAAATGTTTGCATATCCTTAGATTTTAGGGTTCTGTTTGCCATATTTGGAAGATTTATAAATAAAAATTTTCTTGAAGTTGATAATATAATGCTGTTTAACAGTCACAGTGTTTGAAAATAAAACATTTACTTCCAATTTATTTGCATGCATACATGAATTTTAATTATGCTAAATATTCATACTCTCCTTTGAGGGTGATATTTTTACTCCACTCTTGGTTGAATCTTTGTATACAATATATTCAGAAGTGATAATGCTTGATTGCACAGGACTAATATTTGCAATTTTTTTCAGTGGATGAACTCACACTGAGAGATAGCTGGGCACACAAACTAGACTCAATAGGCCTTAACATATATGACAGAACGTGTGAAAGCTTGTGAGGTGATATAGGGGAGTGCAGATAGAAGGGTGAAGATAGGGGAGAGGGTCTAAATATGATTAAGATGTATTATATAAAATGCACAAAAATTCAATAAAAATATACATTGAGAAAAAAAAATCATGTCCTTAATGTCATCAGATGCATTCTTCATGTTGTCTCCACTTTATAATTACTTTAAATAAAAACAAAGTGTTTTGTTTGGAAGGGTGTTGGTAAAAAAACGTATTAAAGCATTATTATTTAATTTTAGTAATTTTTAGCATCCTAAATAATAAATCTAAAAATAATATTTCTCTTTTAAATTAAAAAAATAATATCTGGGGTTGGAGAGATGACTCAATGGTTAAGAGCACTGACTACTCTTACAGAAGACCTGGGTTGGATTCCCAGCTACCACATTGCAGGTAACAACCATCCATAACTCCGGTTCCAGGGGATCTGAAACCCTCTTCCCACCACTGTGGGCATTGCATGATACAGGTGCACTTACACACTTGCTGACATACAAAAAAATACACATAAAAAATAAATATTAAATAACATTTTTATATGCTGATCTAAATAAAATGTGTCTTTCTTATAATTTCCCTACAGTTTTAATTTCAAATACATGAAATATTGATACTAAGAAGTGAAGATGATTTATTTTTTTAAACTTTTTTGATTTGCTTATTTTTATTTTATGTGTATGAGTATGAGTGTTTTGCCCAAATGTATCATTTGTATGCAATTTCCATAGAAGCCAGAAGAGGGCAAGGAATCTCCTGGAACTGGAGTAGGTAGCCGCCATGTGGGTGCTGGGAAATGAAGCTAGATCCTCTGCAAGAGCAGCCAGTCTTCTTAAACACTGAACACCCCTACCATCTCTTAAAGACAATAAAGTCAATCTCCATATTTTTTGAGACAAGATTTCCCTGTAGTCCACGATGGCTTGAAATTCAAATTGAAGACCAGACTGGCCTTGATCTCACAGAGTTCTGCCTGCTTCTGTTCTCCAAGTGCTGAGACAAAACACATATACCACTGTGCCAGGTTATAATTCCACTAGAAAAAATATGCAATTCTCTCATCATATTTCATAAATAATAGGAAAGGAAGTTACCTCTATTGCCTTTGTTACTGTGTTATACTCTGTCAATTTGTGGTATAATTTTCATGACTCATGTTTCAAGTGCAGCCTTTTTTCTTATCTACTGATCCACAATCATTTCAGTACTAGACTCAAATACATCTGCAATGCTAACCAAAACATGAAGAGCAAAAATAATAGCAGAAATTTACTAAGATTCTGCTTTATAACTAGTATAATCCAAAGGAATATGTAAGTCAAATTTACTGCTGGAAGGTGCACATGTGGCTTCTTCCTCCCACCATCCTTATGACAAACTAAGAAAATATTCTTCCAAACTATAGTTTAGGGAATAAAAATATTTATTGGGCTTACTAACAGTATGATGGCAGTGAGGGGTTACTTACGAAGAATGAGCACACTCAGGTTGTTTTTTTTTTTTTTTCCCCTCTACATTTCAGTGGCTTCCAGACCTATGGCCACTGGCCCAAGATGGTGAAGCGCCCACTCTGACTTCCCCTGTGTCTCTCCTTAGTGCCTTTCCCTCATACAGTTAAGGCTGACTGATTGGATGGGAGGGGTGACTGTCTCCCTCTGCCCCTCCCTTCCTACTGAGAGTCTTGTAGTTCCATTAGTTTGAAGCAAACGGGTGAGAAGCTAGAGAAGAGGGCATCTTTCCATTTGCTTGCCAGTCTGACTTGCTATTCAGAGGACAGCTTATCCAACAGAATATAAACCTGTTTATTATTCCTCACCATCATAAAGTCATTATTTCTATTAATTTCGTTTAACAGATAATAACTACCAAGAAAAACATATAAGTATAAGAAGTAACTGTCAGAGTTAGTAACTAAAATGTCAGTGAATTTTTATCATTATAATCATGAATAAGTGACATCAGTACAAATTCCTTATCAATTCCAAATTTTTGTTAGCTTTGCCAAGATTTGCACCAAAATGAAACTTCAGATGGATTTTCCCTTTACTTTTAAATTTTGATGCTGTTATGAACTTTGTAGACCAGGTTCATTAATAATTGCTTAATGGCTAACTCAAATTTCAAATACTCAAATAATAGCTTCTTTTGTAGTTTTATTTTGTTTACATAGGGGTTCACTGGTTCCAAATTCTAGTTTAGAAATATTTTATCGTTTATCATTTTTATCTTTATATCATTAAATCGTTTATGCTCAAGAAGTTCAGATATACCTATTAAGATTTCTGTAGTCATGAATGAACAAAGTAATTTATTTTCCTTATATTTTTGTAAAATCATCATTTACATTAGAAAAATTGCACACATATGTTTTATTTCATTTTATAAGTTGATTTCCATCATACTGTCCTTTAGCTATAAAGAGAATGTAATGTGGCTATCAACCATTCACCATGACCAGCCTATGAAGCCCCTGGACAGAGCTGTCTTCTGGATTGAGTTTGTCATGCGCCACAAAGGGGCCAAACACCTGAGGCCACTTGCCTACAACCTCACCTGGTACCAGTACCACTCTCTGGATGTGATTGCATTCCTGCTGTTCTGTGTGGCATCCCTTGCTTTCCTTGCCATAAAATGTTGCTTGTTTATTTATCAACACTTTGTGAAGATGGAAAAGAAAAAAAAAAAAGAATGAGTAAAATGCTTCGAGACCTAACTGCACGATCTAAGCTCTTGCATTAGAGCTAAGACTCTTCCACTGCATCCCAGCAATGTGGATGAAGGTCTGGCCATGTTTTTGAAGATCTTTAGCTACTTGATTTACATGTTTTACATCTGTTTAACATTAATATATGTACAAGTATAAATCTTAATTTCCTTAAATCTTTTATTTAGTGTGACTTGCACATGTAATAATTTGGAAAGCAATGACATTCATTGAAACATCAGCTTGTTCAGTGGAGTAGCATAGGAAGCCTGATGTTTACATTGTGCATCTGAGGAAATGTCATCCTTTTCATAAAAGGTAACCAAATGGTCTAACTATGCCTATCACTGGATACAAGAACCTGAACTGCCTGATAAGGGGCAGGGATTTTTTTTTTCAAACTATTGAAGAGGTGGGGTGAGCATGACTTTGGTATAAATGAACCCCATTCAGTAAGACACAGGTAACTGGCATTTCTGTATAAATAAAAATAAGGAGAAACAAAGACACAGGAATTGAAAATGATATTTGTAAATGGAAAATTACAAAATAAAGAAGTTGAAAATTATTGAGCATGTTCTGGCTTAAAACAATGCACACTTTGTACTTCAACAGAATCACATATGCAAGCGCAAAAGCCTTGAAGGAGAAATCACATTTGGAGACATAACGCATGACATAATACAAGTAGAATCTCTGCAAGATTTGATCTAGAAAGCAGTAAGAACCCATACTTTGTTTTGCATGAATGAACAGTACACATCTCTCTTGAAATGCAAAATATTTCACTATGAATTTTTTCAACTAACCAATTCAGGATGGTTCTAACATACTTTCAGCTGAATACTATACTACCTGAAACATTTTCATTTAGAAAGATAAAAGAGGGGTTACAGAGGTGGCTCAACAGTTAAGAGAACTGGCTGTTCTTGCAGAGGACCTGGGTTTGATTCCCAGCACTCACATGACAGCTAACAACCATCCATAACTCCAGTTCCAAGTGATTTAATGCCCTCCTCTCACCTCTGCTAGCATTGCATGACACAAGTGTACTTACACACATGCAGGCAATATTCTCATACACAGCAAATAAAAATAATAAACAAATATAAGGAAATATGAAAGAATTATTTTTCAGATGAGCCCTTGAATATACTTTATGGAGTGATCCTCTGCAATTGAACAGTAAGACAAAAAATACCATAAGAAGACTATGTTCATTAGCTCAGAATGATAGCTGGGTTCCTGCAAATTTGCTTCAGTCTGCTTAAAGTATGATACTACATTTACCTCCTGTGGCAACCTAATCTTCCTTATCTTACCTTAATTTTTCTTCTCAGTCACTACTATCCATTTTAATACCCAAGATGCTAGTATATGAAAACAGTATTTAGAGTGTATTTTTACTTTATCTTCAGTAACAACACATGGAAAAATGATTGCACATGCAATAAAAAAATACAATAGAGCAATTTTAATGTCTCTGCTAGAAAGAGAACTTTTAGCAACAATATGTCTTAAGCGCCAACTCTAAAATCTGCAGTCAGAATGTTCATTGTCAGAGAAGTCTGCAAAGTCAAGCACAAAAAAGGACTCCAACTGAATATCACTTCCTTTGACTGATAGATTTAGTTTTTAAAAGTTGGATGAAAAAGACATAAAATTATTTTTGAAATACAGAAGACATTTGTACAGCATGCTAATTTATAAAAATCAGGAATAACTATTACTTTAAACTAGTTATGATAATAAGGTCCAGAATGTATGTTTTTCTTTTACTACATTTTGAATATATAATCACACTGTAAAAACTGAATGACAGTAATGTTCAGAAAAGAATTATGATATAGTAGCACCATTTAATTTCCTTAACATATTTTGGGGTGCACTTTTATACATGTGTATTACTCTAGGCATTAGGAAAACTTTTCACTACCTAAACCAAATTCCACCATCTTTTTATTTGTGAACTACCTTCTACACATACACCGGCTACTTTATCAAAATACTGTTGCATATACATATACAAGTCTCTCTAAGGCTTAAGTGATAGGATTCTGTAAGAGTTACAGAAATTGGGAAAAAATCAGATGTTAAAAATGTAATTCTTTGAGCAGCACATGTAGGAAACCAGGTTTTGCATACCCTAGGGTGAGATGAGCCTAAAACTTTAAAGGAGGGGTGCTGAAAACAGCAACTCTGAAATCCCTGTCTTGGAGAACACTGCAGGGCTAGCAGGAGAAAAGTGGCCAGGTCAAAGTTTCAGTTCTTTGCTCTGAGAAAAAGCTTCTTGGTTAACAGCCCTCAGCCCACTTCCTTGTCCTGAACAAATAACAGCTATCACTAGCTAAAAGATTAGACCAGATTAAAGGTTTATACCTGGGCTAAAAACTAAAAGTTTACTATGCTTTTAGTCCTAAGAAAGAAAACATTGTGGTAATAAATTACAAGATAGGCACTGGTAACCTTGAGTAAGGGTTCAAGCATCCTCCTTTACATATAAGCCCTAGCTGGCGCCAGCTAAAACCTATATGTACTGTTCTTTGTCTAATTGTGCCCTAAATCTTTGTATGTAACTGCCAAACCCCATGTGACTGCCAGTTCCTTAGAATATATAAAAACCTTCTGAATTTTTAAATAAACAGTTTGCTGTAAGGAAACACTTGCCACCCCAGGAATTAGGCTTCCCCACTGAGCAAGGCAGACTTGGGTTGCTGAAAGCACATGTATTTGATTCATCTACTTTAGGGACTAACCATATAATTAGGAGTTTCTGAATTAATAACTACTTAGGATGCATTGACTATTAAAATATAAATAATGAAGACACAGTAACAGAAATTTTTCTCCCACATTTTCATACACAGTGTGTATTATTTTAAAATGTACAGTCGAGTCATCTACTAATAAAGGTCAATGCTTAGCCATCTCAAAAAGGAGAAATGTTTGCAGCATAATTATTCAATATTTATCAAAGTAAAATTTTGGAACTGAGAAAATACTTTAAAAACTGGGATGGAAATGTGTTAATCTTTTGTTGCTTGGCTCAAAGACTCTGATAGAAAGGAATTTAAGGAAGAAAGGGTTTATTGTGGCCTACAGTTCCAGAGAATTAGACTCTACAGTGGCAGGGAAGCCATGGAAGAAGGCTACTCAAACAGGAAGCTGGCTTATCATACCTCCATCTCACACAGGAAGCAGGTAGAACCAGCAGGAAATTGGACAAAGTTATAAACTCTCAAAGCCTGCGCCCATTGATGTACTTCTTCCAGCAAGCCTGTACCTCATAAATGTTTCATTACCTCCCCAGAGAAAGTCACCAACTAGAGACTAAGTATGCATATATATGACACTATGGAGGACATTTGTCATTCAAATCATAACGGAAAATAACATTTTGTAAATTCTACCATAGTACCCTAGAAATCTTGTATTACTTACAGAATGCCTCAAGGTAAGATAACCATGGCCAAAGAGCATGGCATAATTCTAGAAATATAGTACATGATATATAGAATATATAGATATTCTAACAAGGGTAGGTTTAAAGTTGAAGAATGATCTATAGACATACTAGTGGTCATCCATGTAAGTCTATTTAAAAAAAAAAACATGTCTCTGGTGATCATAAGACATGTGAGAGAAATTACTACTGACTGATGTTCAGCTAAATAGACATAACATCAAACTTCCTTCCAAATATTTATATTTGCATTCTTAAAGGTTACCCTCAAATCTAATCAGTGAAGCTTTGATTGGCAGTGAAAAGCAGTAAATGCAGAGAATCATTGCTGTACAAGAGGCTGAGAATAAGTTGTAGATGAGGGCTCACTCCTAAAAAAATAATTTATAATACTTTTTCTAAGGCTCAAGAAACACTGCACAAGAGGTGACAGAAAAAAAAATAAGATTTGAAAGACAAAGGAAGATGCTCTAGACATGACTTAGCTCATGTAACGATGAGTTCACAGCAGTGACCTACATGTGCACTGGGCCTGTACAAGATAGGCCCTCTCAATAGGTAGTCATAGACTGGGAGGGCTCCTTGGCCTTACTACTGAATGATGGAACACTGATAGACTCTTGGAGAGGGGGAGCCACTGTCTTCAGTTGGGTAACCACTGGTGAACCTGGAAGATTGTAATCTCAAGGCCACACAGATGGCTCTGATGTATCTAGCAGATGGTAGCACACAGTTCCAATCCCAAGGCCACACAGATGGCCTTGGTAAATGTAGCTGGATACACAAACACACACACACACACACACACACACACACACACACACACGAAAACCAAAAACACATGATTGTGATGAATGTAATAGTGGAAAGAAGGGGGAATTTAATAGGTGATGAAGGGAGATGAGGGAGTGCCTGGTGAGAGCAAGCAGAATGCCTCATACATGTGGATGAGATTGTCAAAGAAAAAGTTTAATTTTAAAAAGATACATCATGAATTCTTCAGCCCAGGACATGAATATATATATAAATGAATTAAAACATTGATTCCAAGAAATTGCAGGATTTATTTTTATTTCAAAAACACGTGTACATAAATTGACATGTTAAAAGAAAGGTAAGATACATTGCAAGGAAAGTTGAACTAATTTTCTGCAAACTCTTTCTCACCAAAATCCTTTTATACATAAGTTAACAATTTTTTATTCTGAAATTCAAAGAATATATCGTGTGTTGGGTGATACATGCCTTTAATCCCAGAACTTGGGAGTTAGAGGCAAGTGGAGTTCATTGAGTTCAATGTCAACCTGATCTACGTAAAGAGTTCCAGGCCAGTCAGGGATATATAGTGTACCCTAACTCAAACAAAAACAAAACAAACAAAAAAACAAAAAACAAAGCAAAACAAAAAACAAAGACCCTATCATATAAAGAATATGAATATGGGAGGTGGCCAAGAGGTTTAGCAATAGCCTGTGCCATTTTGGGAGTCTCTTGGACAACTCTGGTCAACAACTCAAGAAAGGTTCTCTCCAATCTGGCACTGTGTTTCTTGCCATACAACCCCTAGGTATACAAATGCACTAATGTTCAGGAACCTTATGTATATTTTTCTAGGGGTTTCAGAGGCAACACATTTCCCTCTGGCTTCCCTGGGCCCCCAGAAGCCATTCATCTCTACCCTCTCTCCTCCTGTTTGACCTTCCTCCTCCCTCCTCAGTTCAAGTATGTCCCCATTATCCCTTCTCTCCCCCCAATAACAGCAACCTCACCCCTCTCCTGTGTCCCATCCCTAACAGTGCCCCCCTGAATGTCCCTCCCTCTTCTGTTCACAGTCATATTCTCCCGCCCCCCATAACATCTGTTCCCTACTATCCCCCTCTTTCCAGTTCTTTCTTTTCTTTTACCTCTGTGTTTTCTTTCCATTTTCTTGGCTCATGGCGTTACATCGGGATATATTCTCACATATAAGGGATTAGTGCTATGATCCGAAATGAGGGAGAGCATTTGCTTAGTTTTCTGGGTATGTGTTACTTCACTTGATATAAAACTCTCTAGCTCCATCCATTTACCTGCAAATTTCATAATTCACCTTCTCTTACTGCTGA